CTGTGCTCAGGAGCCAGTCCTGGCAAATGGCTGACACTCAACTACAAATACAGAACTTCAGGAACCCTGGTTCAGGCAACATACTGTCATTTTTAAATTATAGATTCCCCACTCCCGTGAGCCAAAATTGCTTTTTCTCTCTCTAGCTTTATGAAAATGCAGAAATTGCCCAAGATTTTGAAAGGATTTGAAACATTTATGTTGTGGACATTAAGTTTGATAGCAACAAATCATGATTTCTGAGTATCAAATTTTAAAGAAAGACGGGTTTAAGTTATCCCAGTTTGTGCAGGTAAAAAAATTACAAACCATCACTGTCTTCCCTCCCCACCCCCACTCCCAGGGCTGTCATTCATCAAAATTAAGGTCAAGCAAAACACTGCAAGGAAAAACAGTTACATCTTTCCTTTGTTTTTTTTTTTGTGAAACCTGTACTGAACTGATTGTTCTACCTTGGTGCAACCTCTTTGATTTTGTAGAGTTCTGTTACTTGCTTCCCATCTCTATTAGAAAACAAATCATGATGAAGAATCAATGATTATTATATTGGGTCAAATTCAGGTGTAGCTCTTGTCTTCAATGGGCCTATGAAGTTTTTTAAGGCAAGGAAATAATCTTTATCGAGTCTTTGTAATTTATTGAAGCTGAGCCACATCTTGTTTACAGTAATCCTAATTGTACTTCCGTGTTGCCTTTTACATCCCAAATGATTAAAAATAGGTATCATGACTTAAACAAAAATCCTAATCATTTTCACTAATACTTTTCCAAGTAAATTCCATAGAATTTGTCATCTGAATCCAACAGGATCAGGACATGGTACAGTAGTTGACTGTATGGCAACGAGTTTTACCTTCATCACAGGGAAATTGGTGCAGCCACCAAACCTGTCATATGATCAGAGCCCACAAGAATCATGGGTTGACATACTTCAGCAAATCTACCATTTAAAGAAGCTCGTGGAATCCACTGCCTTTTTACTGAAAAGCAGAGAAAGGGAATCAGCTCTTCTGGGATCTGAACCTATGCTTCCAAGTTGTTCAGCTGCTTTGTGTCTGCTGCCAAGGCTACTGATGAGGCCAGTGGTCAAAGATTTTACTCTAAAAATGGATCTAACTGGTTCTGTTTCTTTTCCTCCATCAGCCTAGCAGAGATGTGAAAAGGAAGCCACCAGGTTCTGTAAGATTTGGGAGTGCTCATCATCCGGTGTTGAAACACCGACTCCACATGCTACAGCTTTCTTTTCAGGATGTCACTCTCCCGCCTCCACACTCACCACCAAACAAACATAGAAATCTACTACTGTTCTCCCCATGCACTCCATTTTCTTCCAATCTGAGAGCCATTTGTGTGTATAATTGAAAATTAGCAGTGCAGCTGTTTGAAGAGAGTAATTTATCACAGCACATTGTTCGCTCCTGACACTTTAGACCTGGCTCTAACAAGGCAGTGGTTGCTGGGGGTTGAGCTGCAGAAAGTGATTCGGCTGTAATGCCGCGTTTCCCCTGCTTTGTTGCTAATTGTAGCCTCTTTTTCTCCATTGAATTGGGAGTTGAGTAAAAGAGCTTGTTTGCTCTGTGCGACGAGGCTGCCAGGGCCGCTTGGGCTATTATCACAAGATACTCTTGATCTTTTGAAAAGCAGGAAATAGAATTTTTCTCCAACAGGGAAAGTAATTTGCGATGCGTCCATTAGTTCTTCATTAAAGCAAGATTAAATTGCACGGCAAATCACATCTGTGTTTGGATGATTAAAGGGTGGCATTTTAGAGGCCAAAACTAATTACTAGCCAAAATGAATGGGAGTGAAAAAACAGTCATGTTTTTACATTAGATAGTGTGGCTTGTAATTAGATTCAAGCTAATTCCACTATTTCTTCTCATTTAATGAGATGAGCCTGTCCTCATCTTTTTCTAGGCCATGCTAACAGCCCCAAATGTATAATTTTGATAATACTGAGAGTTTACTTTATTGAAATTTCTTAGCTACCTGCCACAAGTGACTGTTCTGTCTAGTGGTGCTTCATTATACATCAACATGAGCTACTGTGCATGGCCCAAGCAACATCTCAAGCAGTCTCTGTACATTTATATGCATGTATATTTACATAGCTATGAATTTGTGTGACTGTATATGCATACACATATATAAATATAATGCCCATTATATGTGTATATGTTTTTGTTACATGAACACAGAAATGTTTGAAAGAGTATTGAAGGAAAGAAAGGTAGGTCTGGAAAGTACAAATCTCCACGTAAAATTCCTTTAATTCTGGAGGTTTGTGGAGGTAGTTTTTCTTTAGGCGTGAGAAGAAGGAGGTAAATAGGGGCATCAAGTGGTGAGTGATTGAAATAACACAGTTATTTCCTAGATTTTAAAAAAGTGAGGGTTTACTAGTTGTTTTTAAAGCAATATCTCTCAGTAGAGGCTTGGAACTGACAACTAATTCTAAATGGCCTAGTAATTAATTGACCTTAGGATATATTATATTCTTAAGATCAGCAGTTCTTGTTTCTCATGAAGAGATGCTGCCAATGAATTGTGGTGCCATTTCTCCTCTTCTTGGGTGCCTGTATTGAGAAGGAAGGAGATTAACGGGACACAAATTGGATGAATATGAGGCCCGGAGTACATGTGTTGTCTCTTGGTTCTTCTCCTTGGGGATTCTCTGGAAAACAATAGTTTAGAGACATGTTACCTATTCCATAAAATTTCATTGCAGTTACTCCCTGAGATAGACACAGACATGGCCAAGTGTCTGTTCACAGACTTCCAAGGAAATGTGTTACTGGTGGTGCAGAGTGGTAACTAGAGAGGGGCAGAGGGGAAGGAGAAGTGCAGAGACTATTATTTGATGTATTTCCTTTCTCTTCTGGTTCCCCAGCTGTTTTTTAGAGATCACCAATGCCATTCTAAATGGAATTTGTCCTTGTATTTGCCCTATCCTTACTATTCCCTGAACCTTTGCTGTTGGCCACAGTCAGCAGACAGAACTACGGGAGAGACTTTTGATTCAGTCCAGGATGGCAATTCTTACATTCACAGCCCTTTCTAGTGGACTAGTCACTACAGGATGCTCTAAATATATCATCAGGGAGACCTTGTGAAAAGGCTATAAATCAATTTATAATGTAGAGCTGTACTTTGATAGAATACTCACTTGAGCAATATCAAAGAGTTCCCATTACCTACGAAATTCTCTTCATCCTCAGTAATTTATTGGGGCATTTTTTCCCAACTTTTCTTTCAATGCCTTACTGTCCCCTATGAAACTTAAGAGTCAGTTGTGGTCCACTTGTTTGCTGCATTATTTTTACTAGGTCATTGGTTTATATTCACTATATCAGATTTACTTTGAAGACCATATTTATAAATAAGAGCCATGAAACTGCCTCCTGGCAGAATACCATAGGGGCCATCAAGCTCACCTCTGATTGATTTTTAGAGGGGTTTCTTCTAGAGAAGCAAGGATGTATTCCATGATTGCCAGTTTCATCTACATTTACTATTGACATTATGCAAACCAAACTGTGAAAATAATACAGAAGTTCTGGCAAAGGAGAAGGTGACCTTCTAGACTGTGAAACTGAAAACAGAACTATGAAGAAATCTCCCTTGACCATGGAGTCCTTTCCTACTTCTCCCAAACTTTTCAACAACTTAGCCATAGGGCTTCATTGTGCTTTGCTCCATGACAGTTCTTTTCAGAGAGTACTTGTAGATGCTTCTTTGAGCTTCTTTGCTTTTGTGTCATGTGATTTCCAACATGAATTTTGGTGGGTTTTATTTGTTTGCTTGTTTGTGAGGGGGTTGTTTGTTTTGTTTTGTTTTTCTTATTTTTTTTTAATATCTGATAAGAATGTGATTTTAGTGACTCAGATTTCTACTATGTATTATTTCAGACTGGTTTCTGATCAATTAATGTGAAACTCACAGCTTAATTTTAAAGATTATTTAATGTCAATGTAATAATCAGGAGTTGCACTTGGGACAATTTTAAACAATATTTTAAAGTTGTAGTACTATTTTATTACATGTATAACATAGTCCTGACTCTACATCACATCTTATTGAACTCACAGTCATCTTTATACTGCAATCCAAATATTATATTAACAAAATAGTTGAAAAGCTTCATATTTTGAGTGTTTCATCTAAGCTACCTTTCTCTATTCTTTATCAGTTTTAGGGACCTATGCCATTGCACCTGCATTTGAATTCTCCTTATTATAGGGAACCTTGATTGCAAGCACAATTAAAAATTTGTCCATTTATCATAGCTTGTACCCAAAAGAACTATGACTGACACTCCTGCAGGTATTCTGGCAAGCTAAAAGGCTTCTTACAGCTAATGGGAGTGACTAAGATTCATCTGAAGATAGATATTTTGTTCTAAAGACAATTTCTATTTTCTAAACCGGGGATTGCAGATTTCAAAACTTTTTTGAGCACTCTGCTGACCTTGAAAGCCTCCTGCAATAATGGAACCAAAGTCTGCAACAACAAGCCTTAAGTACTGCTTCAAAACCACTCATAGATCCTGTACTTTTGGCTTCCTAACATCTTTCTTTAAAGTATGCAGCTTTGTGGTTTAACCCCAGCTGGCAACTCAGCCCCACAGAGCCCTTCACTGACCCCCCCCGGTGGGATGGGGGAGAGAGTAGGAAGGGTAAAAGTGAGAAGACCCATGGGTTGAGATAAAGACAGTTTAAAAGGTGAAGCAGAAGCTGCATTCAAGCAAAGCAAAACAAGGAATTCATTCTCCATATCCCATGGCCAGGCAGGTGTTCAGCCATCCCCAGGAGAGCAGGGTTCCATCACTCCTGACAGTGACCTGGGGAGACAAATGGCATCACTCTGAATGTCCCCCCTTCCTTCTTCTTCCCCCCAGCTTTATGTGCTGAGCATGACACCATATGGCATGGAATACCCCTTGGCTCAGTTGGGATGAGCTATTCCAGCTGTTCCCCCTCCCAGCTCCTTGTGCACCCCCAGCCTTCTTGCTGGTGGGATGAGGAGCAGAAAAAGACTCAATTCTGGGTAAGTGCTGCCCAGCAATGCCTAAAACATCCCTGTTTCCAGCACAAAGCCAAAACACAGCCCTGTGCCAGCTACTAAGGAGAAAATTAACTCTATATATGCCAAAACCAGCATAGCAACCATGGGTCATGTAATTTTTTAAGCAATTGTACTTAAAAATAGAAGATATGCAGATTCTGGAGATGTTAGTTTTGGCTGAAGCAGTTTCCTACTGAACATCACCCTCACTAGCAACTGGTGTACATTCTGTTTTATAATTCCAGACTCCTTGTGACTGGTCTATCAGTGTGGTACCCTTCCAGAAAAGAAATATTTCAACTTTTTTTTTTTTTTAAATCTTTCTGGATGATTAGTAAGCATTAAGTTTTGCTTATCAATCATCCAACTCTGTGCATGCAAATAATTGTCCAAGTAACTTCATTACTTCGTGAGGCTCAAAAGCTCAAGAGAGGATAAAATACAGGTCATAAAGTTTTTATCTATAAGCAGAGGATCCATAAAAACTTACAAATAGTTCTAATACCTAAAGTAATAGCAAAAGGCCAGATTATCTTCCTTCTCCATACATATAAAAGTCAATAATTTGAAGTCCCCAGTTGTTTCTGATTGTTCTCCAGAGAAAGAATCATAACTGTTAGGAGGGTAACACTACTATATATCACTCTATATATATATATATATATATATAAACACACACAGATTTTTTATTTTTTTCTTTAATATAATTAAAGAAATCATTGCACCTGAGGACCTTATAATCTAAGAGAAATACCACAGGACTTGACAAAAAAACAGATGACATCTAGCAGGCAAAGAATGGGATAAATACATGCAAGACTAGTAGATCACTAGATTTTTTCAAAGGATTATCAATTCACACAGTTACCACATTTCTGATGGGAGGAAATAACCAACAAAGGAATTGGTAACAGTGACTTCTAAAACTTCTTGTACGATTGTGTCTGTAGGATGGCTAGAAATTTTGGTCATAGCTCAAGAAACACTGGGGGGAAAAGTGAGGTTTGAAGAGGAATTTCGAAGAAAAGCGGAGAGTTTTATGACCTGCAGCAGAGGGGAAGGCTCTCTGGGCAAAGATAATGTGAGAGGTAGGAGGACAGCAGCTTTAGCAAGATACAGACAAGATTTAGCTGGAAGCAAGGAGGGAGAGGCAGCATTGTGTGACTGTCCAGCCAGTGCTTTCTTTCACTGGTATCATACGGGAAACCTCAGGAATAAAATTTTATTTGAGACAGAATAATTTATCTAAGTCATGATCTTGGCATTTGGTGGAGACACTATAATTAAAAAAACTTGATCAGATCTTCCAGTAACAAACCCTGTACTACGACAAGTAATATTCAGGTCACACTTCTCCTTTGAAGTTTTAATGGCCACTACAATTTTATGTTAGTCACTCACTTATGTTTGAAGTAGGCGTGCAAAGCCTTGGCTGTCTCCATTTGTCTATAACTACTTTAGAAGCTTCTGAAGGCACTGAACTCATAAAACTGCAGGCTTCAAAGAGCTTATTCAAAGATTCCATTCTGCTGCTGCCATTTATCAAAGGGGCACTTCTAAAATATATATCTCTTTATAATAAAATGTTTTTTAAAATATAAACCTGACGGTGGGGATGATTAAAACAAAATCTCCATTGGCTTCAATGGCAGCAGAACTGAGTTCCACAGCTTTAAATATCATATTTATATTTCTACAAATAATGTTATAGTCAAGTAAATTGATAATATAATAAAGCAGAATTCAGTTTTCCTTCTTTTTTTCACCCTGTATTAATTTTTTGGAACGTTACTGTGAATTTAACCTTGAACTTTAAATCAAATTTTAACTTTAACCCCATAATACAGAAAAGGCTTGTCCCTCCTAAAGAAAATAGAAGCTTCCTGTTTTTAAGTAGAATTAACTCTATTGGGCAGGTGCAAACCTGAAGGGTCAGTAAAATATTAATGTTAGATCATAATTTATTAAAAAATAGGACAAGAATCCTGTAATTTATCAATCCCATGATAGATCTTTCTGAGATCTAGTACATGATTCCAGACAAATCAGGTGGCATTGAGTTATTTTGTATCCTGTTTAAACAAGAATAACAATACCTACCTACATGGCACTCAGAGTGGCACAGTCTTTTGTCTAAACCAAATCCTCAAAAAACAGCAGGAGACTTTCCATGGACTTTATTAGACCAGCCCTTTAACTCATCACCTTAACTTCTGTAAAGAATCATGACCTGTGGTGAAAGGGGTAGTGGATGTCTACAGAATGGGTATGATGTCAACCAGCACTGATTCCAGAAATGCATCCTCAGGGTTATATAGTGCTCCTGCTCCTGCCCTAATCCCACAGCTTGGTCCCTTGTTTTGTTTGCTCCAAGGGTGGACATCAAAACACCCCATCTGTTGCCATGGGAATGGCTGTGATTTTGCAAATTCAGCTTTGTGCCTTCAAGATGAAATCAGGCAGAACAAAAGAAATGGGCAGCAGGGGTAAAGCCCTTGTTTAAGGACGAGGGTGATTTGATTCTAAATTCAGGCCTAAACTCTTTGTCCTTGTGGGATAACTCCCCATCGAGCACCTTTTGAAGTTACTACTATTCTGTTGTTACTCACCTGGTTTTCCTGGTTGCTCTGGGAAGGGAATTTCACATCCAGTCTGCTTGAACGCTGCCTAGCAGAGTGTTCTGATTCAAGTCTCTCATCTCATTATAATACAACTAAACAGTGATAAAATGATGATAATGATATTGTAAACATAGGTAATAGCACAGGGAATAGCCATCCAAACACAGAACTTCAGTGCATTTTCTGTATTTTCACTGCTGTAATTTATCTACCACCTCAAGCATGGAAGAGTCTGCATTTGGGGCAGATTCTGTTGGTTCATTCTTTGGCTTCCTTGTGAAATTGGCTTGCATAACCATCCCAGAATAATTATTTCACTTTTCTATTCTGGAGTAATTTCCCCATGTAAGCAGTTTCTTTCCAATTACAAATAATATTCTGAAATAATTTCTCTGGTTTGGATAACAATCATTTTTTCTGAAATAAAATAATTATTATTTTATACCAATGTTCCCTACAACAGAAAATAACCTGGAACATCTAAATGATAGGTATCTGGTAGATCCCCTGTTTACACAAAACTTCAGAACCTGGACTTTTTAAACAAGTATGTATTTAAAAAGGTATTTCTTTTTCTTCTGCAGTAGCATTGATGCTTTATTTAATTTAGTAGAGGAAGAAATGTGAGGATTGCACTATATCTACCAGCCATTGTTTCCAGTTATTTTGAATTCTTGACTATTCCTGGAATTGATAGCACTGCTTGGAAGAGCATGACTCTGTTAGTGCCTTGCTTTAGAAGTAACAGAGTTGCCAATCAATAAAAATTGGCATTGATGATATTTGAGAATATTCCATGGTCTCTGTGGTTCAGTTCTGAAATATGAGGGTAAATTATGGGTTTACTGGGAGTGTTCTGCAAAATTCTGTTTCATCTTGGCAGAACCATTTAGGAAGGTCAACAGGGTGATATAGTCCTGCACCTAATGTGGTATGTAAGTGTGACTTGTGTGTAAGTTAGAGTTTACCTCTGCCTGGAGATGGATTTGGTGGGGCTTTTTTTTTGCTGGATAGACAAAACTAAATTCTCTAAGTCTTACAGTCTTGCTTTTGAAATAATTTTGACAAACTACTGGAACTCTAGGCCTTTTTGACCCTAGATTATTTTTTTTGCTTCTTTTTTAAACCTCAAGAATACTGAACATAGGATTGGAAGGTGTCCTATGCATTGTGATGCCTTAGGTAAGACCAGGGAGACACATGGGCTGATTCTTTCTCTGGAGGCTGTTGCAGTTTAGACCTTTACAGAGTCAGAGAAAGGACAGATGATTATGACTCTCAGAACAGTGGTTACATTTCAACCCATTGCAGCCAACAATGTCTTCTTCAACCAAAGATCGGACCAAATATTTATGGTGGAAAGAATAAAGAGGCCAAAGCAACTACTGCAGTAAATTGAATGAATATTTTGAGAGCTACTGAATAAGTCTTTTCAGATGATGGTGTTACCAAACAGGTACAGACTTGAACTGCATTCATTACAAATGCATACCTTGACACAACTGCAGAAAACAGAGTTAGCAAAAAGTTAAAAAGAATGACAAATTGGTTTTCATATACCTAGAACAACTGTAAAATATTTCAAACTGCTCCATGACAAAGGGTGAAATAATGTGTCTAGCTAAGCTGGCGTTATTGTATTAAACCTCAGCTTAAATTTTGCTGTGTCTATTTCGAACCCAAAGACAGGGATGTGCACTGAAAATCTGGTCTTTCCCATTTATAACATTTGTTCTAATAAATTGTACCACTTTTATCCACTTTGTATCACTTGCTTGTGTAATGAAAACGCAGCACTTAGAAAAACTGTGAAGGTATAAGAGCAAAGATAAGTATATGAACAAACAGCTTGAGGACAAAGCTGTAATCACACGGGAGCAGTTCTCTCTGAGGCTCTAAATACATTTTCAAAGCAGTATTTTGTACCTGATTAGCTCCTGGATGTAAATTTCAAAATAAATATTGGTATTCAGTTAAAGATAATTACTAGAGGCATTATGAGTCTGAACGCTTACTGTCAAAAACAAAGGCTATGCTTGTTTAATAATGTAAACAGAGTGGGAACTCTTACATCTGAAACACTTTGAATCACATCACAAAAAGATGAAAATAGCACTTGAAACAATAGAACAGGGATCCTGTGTGAATTTGGATGGAAGAACAAGGTGCAGAATCAAATTATCAACTATGTGTGGTGGGTAGCCCTTCTCTGCTGCTCAGAATTCGAATGACTTTCTAAAATCTCTTCAGCACTTTGTGAAATTCTTTGTGTGCTTTTAGCAAAAGATAACACACTGACATAAATTCCATTGTGCCAATCTGGTAACACCAAAAGAAGGCTGGGTTGTTAAAATCATACTAACTGAATAAGTTCAGACATCTCCAAAGGTAATAATAACTCACTGTTGAGAAAACAAGATGAGGATCCAAAGACAGTGGCAGATACCACGAGTGCATTTTGAAATGCAGAAGTATTGTTATACTAATAAAAAAAGGCATTACTTTGAGTAGAACCAACTTAGTAGAGGAGATTCAGAAGTGTTATGTCCATTCTTAGTAGATACCTCTTTCCAAATTTTTTCTTCAGCCTTAACCCAACCCAGCTATTAAAAGCCATCAAAATGCCCTGACCTGAATCTTTAGGGTTCTAGAAGAAGAATAAATTATTAACACTGGGCTGCTTATATGAAGTAAAGCTAATTAGTCCCATACTTTGAGAAACAGCCTATACTACACATAGCAGGGACCAAATGTCAGACAAGGAGTAACAAACTACACAGAAGTTTTTTCACTGGCAAATTAATCAGAGCACCAAAAGGAAGGACAGTTGCACACAAGGTGAGCCTTTGAAAAGGACCATTACATGCTGAGGTACCTGGGCAATGGCTGGTTGCACATTCCACTCAGGGGCTGAAGCTTGAGGAAAGGAGGACTGGCATGGGAAAAAACCTTATGAAGTCACAAGAACAAAATACTGATTATTTTTTAAGCCTAACAAAGGACAAAAACCCCTCAAGAAGCTTGTATAGGATGAATCTTTCTACTAGATGATCATCCAGTGGTGCAATCTTCTGATCAATTCTCATTTTAAATATTGAGTTAGAATAGAATATGCTGAATAACAAAGGCTTATCATAATTTGGCCAAGATGGGATTCCATGCAAGTTCATAGATAAAGGATTACAAGCTTCAACTGACTCAATTTTGTAATTATCTGTTATATCAGTGGAAGTATAATACACCCTGGCTTTTATGGTCACAAGTACTGGAAAAAAATGCAGCATAAATACCAGATAAATTTATTAAAAATTCAAAAAAAGTATCAACAAAAAAAATATTTTTTTCTTAAACTGGGAGTATCATTTCTTAGAATTACCAGACCTGAGACCTGTGGACAAAGGAAAAGAAGCTGCCAAAGTTGCCAATACCTGACAAAAACAAGGGGTCCCAAAATGTTGTCACCACAGACCAAATGAAACGTGCTAACAAATGACCCCTATTTCAAACCTAAAATAAAAATTTCAAACCTAAAATAAAAACCAAGATAAATTTTCAGACAGTGGTTACTAACACAACAAAGATAATAGATAGTCCATTCCTATAAAAATCTTGTATTATCATTCACTCCTAGGTCAATTTTACAGAAAGGATCAAAGCTCCTTAGACAAAACTCATGATAGTCTACAAGTATGCACAGTATGAAAAAGTACTGAAAATATTGATTATGTAGTTTACACATCTTTTTAAATCATTATTCAGATATAGGTGAGGTTGGGACATAACCGCAGCCTATTGGCAATGCTTTTGTTATACCTTTAACACAAAGGCTATTTCTAAACTTGCATGGGATTATTTTTCTTGTATAATCTCACATAGCCATTGCTATTCAGGGTGATGAATACTTCAGGAAACTGCTTTTTAGGCTTTTTCTTACACTAAGCAATCTTTATACTTGCCTATCTAGCTTGCAAAGGTCCTGTCCACCACTTTCCCATTCTGCTAAATTTTTGGGAACACCCTGAGGCTCCCCTTTCCTTCATTGTGTCAGACACTGTGGGTGTCCTACCCATGCTGGACATGGCCAGCTGTGAATCCTTCCTTCCAGCCTCACAGGATCTTTTGATCCCCACACCACTCGCTCTTCATTCTTTAAAAAAACTGGATCCTTATGGTTCTTTCCTCCAGAACTCTTTCACACCATTATTCATTCTCCTATTTCTGCAATGAGAAGACAAGCAGAGATGAGATATTTGGTTGTCACACTGCATGCTGTTAATAGCTTTGATCTGTAGACAATTACAGATCCTATTGTAGCTTCTGGTTCTGCCAGCTCTATATCTGAGCTTCATACCTTCCCTGTTTAGCTTTCTTTCTCATTTAATTCTGCTTAAATCTGTAAATACCTATGCATTTATGCCTGGGATGTTCTTTGAGAAATGGTATAACTGATTTGATCTGTTATACAAAAGTTTCCATGTTACAACCAAAAAGACAAATGACACCAACCTGAGAATAAAACCTTGCTCCATTTGGCTCCCAGTTACCTGCAGCAGTTTCCCTGGGGTGAGCTATTGGGAGGATATGCAGAAGCAGGTGTGACTTTCATGTTGCTATTAAGGTGAGGCCATTGTGACAAGAGCTGTGACTAGTTTTCATAAAGGTAGTTTGAAAAGACAAAACCAGGACATTGGCTTTGCTTCACAGGTAGGTGAAAGAAGGCAAGGGGCACAGCCAGAGGAACTAGGAACCAAGAACAGGCAGCTAGAGAAAGTTCTGTGATCAAAGTCCAAGAAAAGGGTTTTTTTTCATGAAATTTTCCATTAGAGATATTGAGGAGGCCTATGTATTAAATTCCTGAGTTTTGAGGCACTGTAATAGAGCTGTCAAACAAAGATATAGAAAGTGCTACTGTTTCCACCAGACATGACAAGCTAAGGATTCCCAACAAAGTAAGGCCACCTGAAGAGGGATAATGAAAGTGATTACATCAGCAAAGAGGAAGGAACAATCCAGGTAAAGAGTTGGTGGATGTTTGATCTTGGAGGGTTGCTGTTACCTCCAGTGCAGTCATCCAAAGCTGTTTAAAAATTAAATAGGCTAAAAGAACAAGAATGCCTAGGATTTCTTCCAGGAATTTCTGTAGTTACCTACTAGGCATCAAAGGAGACTTCTTTTGAACCTTCAAATATACAAGGAGGTCATATGCATTAGTGACTGCAGATTTGGTAACCTATTGTTCATTATTTTCTTTTATTGATTGTTTTACAGCCCTCAAGGCATGTGTGTTGCTTTCTGTGCCATTAAAAAAAAAAAAAGATTTGCAAAGCCTTGGGTTTTTTTTCCAGGAGTAACAGCAGCTGCCTGTCCCTGTTAATGACAATAGCAGCCTATTATTTTTCACTATTCATTCTAATTAGGGGGTTTCAAATGAATATTAAGTCAAATTTTTATGATGAATAATGTCTTGTAACGAGAAAAAAAGACAGGTTGACATAAAATATTTTCTTATTTAAAGATGCCCTTTAAAAACATAAAGTTGCAACAAATTAATTACTTGGCTTAACCACTTTATTAATTTTTTTTTAAAAAGAGCACATGATGCAATACTTGGATTATACTGACAATCAGGACAAAGAGACAAGCCAAAGCAATGAGAAAAGAGTGAAAAAGTATGGTTTCACCCACAAATATAAATAGCCACTAATTAAACAGATGTAGTGAGAAAAATAATCTACTTATTTTATAACTCTAGGTGGCAGCAGTGGAACACAATAAAGAAAAAATTATGATTATAATTATGATTATACTTGCTCCGTGTTAATGCCAAATCCAGTAATTAAATACTGCCGATGGTGTTTCTTGACACAATATCACTTACACACTCTAGATGGCAGCAGCACCACAAAATACAGAAAAATAAGATTAATTGTATTCATGCTGTGTCTGAATGTGCAGTCCCTTCAAGTTTTTGGAGGTTAAAGTTGGAGAGGTTAAAATGCAGATTCCCTGTAGGTATTTCCCACCACAAAAGAAGAAAAAAACTCTAACGGTGATTGCTAAATATCACGTACAATTAGAGGCAAATCACTTCTGAAGTAAGGTGATGTTTTACCATTTCGGGTTTTACTAATGGAGAACTGATATGCAGAAAACATAAATGACAGCACCTCTCCAGCTGGGTGTAGTATACTGATCCCAAAAATCTGTGCCTGTGCATACCTGTCATGGATCTTGCTTTGTGTGTTAAGAGAATTACAGCTTTTGCAAGAGAAGGCAGTGACAGTAACTGTATCATGTATTCAGTCTTTAAAGTGCAAGTTTTTGAATGTATCAGTTCACAAGGACTTCATGTGCATAAGTCTTGGTCAAAGGACTTTAAAGTGGAAAAAAAAGGCATTTGCTTTAGGATATACAAATTTTGGTAAAACCCATTTTGAATACTGTTTGACTAGAAAGCATTATAGGTGTCAGCTCAGCAGAAGGCTGATCTGGAGGCAGCAGCAGGAGGGACTGGGAGTGGGAACCACAAAACCTCAGCTCCCCTGCTTTTTTCTCTCCTGATGGAGACAAGGTCCCAACTGGATGAAAAGCTCAAGCAGTCCAGTAATACCTTGATATTCAAGCCATTACCTGCCAGGTGAGGTTGCACAGAATTCTACAGAGAGTTATTGAAGCAGAGCAAGTTTGTGATTCAGATTGTTGTGGATATTTGCATCGTGCAATTACACTGCACTTATGGCCAAAAGAACAAGCATCCACCAGAGACTGCGTGAGCAGCAGTGTGATACATCACCAAGTGTAGACATGGAACATTAAGGAAAACGGGGCACTCACTTTGTCCAGCTGGCTGGTGTATTACCCTCAGCCTCAGAGGCTTCTTGAGGGTTAAGAAGATTATCATCTGGTCCAGTTTTAGTTGTGTTAGGAGCACATTTTGACAGAAATAGATTGTTGCCCAGTGCCACGGTAGGGTCATACGATGGAGGTGATTCCTTTGCCATGTCCTGGGAGTGTGCCTTGCTCAAAGGTACAAATCTCTGTGCTGAATGAGATGTCTCACTGGAATCTGTTAGTGTGATCTATGAGTAGGACTGTGTGAGAGACCCAAACATTAACTGGGGTCTCATCAGGTTTTTCCTTTTCCCCTTGGTCACTTGATATTTACTTAATATGGAAAGGTTCTTGGTCTGTGCTACTTATTTAAAAAATGGATGTTTCATTAAATTATCATTTTTTAAAAAAAATTATTATATCTGTCTAGGAAAAAACTTCAAAGTAGGAAACTAAAACTTAGCTGGTATCACCAGTATTAAGCTAAAGCAAAAGTTAAGGCAGTCCACTTACTGAGTGAATACTATCTGAAGTATTTTTTTATATAAATATATTTGTTAGCTATTAATATGTCAGATCTGAGTTAAATTATCAGATCATCAGTTCCAAAGACTGACTATAAACTCTAAATAATTCATTTGGAGCTCATTGATTATAAACCCTAAAAGATTTCATCCACTGAATCTGTAACTCACAGGTGGTTAATATTTTGATAGGGAAATGAAAAAAACCTTTAGCACCTGAACAAAACTGATAAAGATAGGGAGTTCTCCTTTCCATTCTTCTGTAGCAGCTCATGCCTTCCTTTTCTCAAAAGTGAGCTTATCCGACTAGTGTTTCAGATTACTTAAAACTATTGAAAAGTTTTCTGGCACTTTTCCCATCTAAACTCCAGGTGCTTATAATGAACAGGCCTAACTGCAATTTCAAATCCTAAAATTGTGTTAAAAATATTTTGGATGCCTCTCACCAAGGAAAGCAAGAATAAAAGTAGACACATGAAAATGCAAATATTGAAGACTGTAAAATATTTTCGACTCTTCTGTTCTCTTGGGAGAAGAGGTGAAGCACTCCCAGAACCAAGTGGTGCTGCTGGTGCCATGCTCCTCACCACAGGCTTTCTCCATAGCCAAAAAGGGGTCCTTGCACTGGCCTACACAGGCTGCTCTCAATCTCTGCCATTAGGTGTGCTGAGCTTTCCATTTTCTGGTGAATACCAGGTGTCACTGGGACTGTGAAGGATGATAAGAGCTGTTTGTTTTGACAGCCCTGAGTAACTTTATGGTGCAAGGCAGTGATGTGCACGAGATCAGAGTTTCCTGAGGATTAGGCAGAGCTTAGCCACCTGTCCTGTAGGTACAAGTACCTGCTGGGGGCCTGTTCCAGGGAGATACTGATTACATGGAATTAGTATTTTTTTTCCAGTTAAAATGAGATTCCTGTTGAACTTAAAACTGTGGCATTTATTTTGCCAGAAGTGTGTGTGCACATTTTCTCTTTCACTCCCTCCATGCTGCAGCCAGATTCACAGACAAAGCTGTTTCACTGGTGGGATGAAAAAGCTCAATGAAAGTAAGAGCTCTGTATCCTTCACCTGGGCAACACTCTCTGCTTTGAACAAATTCTTTCATGGCTTGGACAACTATTGATGGCGGAGATCTCACTGGCTGATGCCAAGTAATGTTGTTGTGGGATGAGGGCAAGGACTGCTGCTGCCATCTCCCAAGTATTATGAAGATATATAGTAATAGCAGTAGTGTTATTTTCTGCCCACCATTTAATTTGTCACCTGAATAGCAGCTATATACTGCAAGAGAGCAGTCAGCAGGGTTCATTGTTTTGTTTATTTCCTGATTATTGCAATGACTTTGAATATTTCTTTTGAGGGGAATTCCTGTGCCTGGGACTATAGCATACTTACCTGCTGTCTGACCTACTGTTTAGTCACACAGAGAAAGGACTGAGGACACATTCCAGAAAGAATACCTTGAAGTGGAGTAATGAAGGAAGAGGAACTACCCAAGAAGGCTATAGAATGTATGTTTTCTTTGGAGAGGAAAAATGCATTAAGACACAAACATTTGCTGCATGTGCAGAAGTGCCCGTGTCGCTGATACAAAGCCACTTCACTGAAGTGCTGCTCTCAGCCTGGGAGGTACCAGCGTCAGCCAGAGACCCAAATCACTCCTTGCTTTGTGAACTCCTGCGACCATCAAATGTAGAGGTGCCTTAATTTCCTGAAGTGAGGCAATGACTGAAGATGCTGAAAAGCACTGGCTGAGATTGTCACAGAACCATTCCAGCAGAACCTGGCTTCTTTAAAATGTTCTCCATGACTTTTTGCATTATTTTTTTCTTATGTTTTGTAGATCATTCCTATGGTTTCTAATACACAGCTCCTCCCTCCACCACTATAGCCTCACACTGTAGGCTACACTGGGTAAGCAGAAATCTTAAAGAAAGTAATTCAACAGCTCTTCAACCTGCCTCTGGCAGACTTTCTCTACTGTTAGTGCCTTGGAGATATCACTAAGTGCAGGGAAATTCTCCAACTAATATTTGAGTAAAAAAGAGATCTTTGCTCAATAGCATGTGAAGGTTATGTAGTGAGGAGGAATTTTCTGCAGGAAATATAAACTGATCCTTAGTAGAGATGATCATTGCAGGATCTTTCTTTAGAAGTCCATGAAATAAGGGCAACTCAGAAAAAATTATAAATCGTTGTATCAGGAAGATAAAGTACAATTTGGGTGAAAGCACTGTCCTGAAACAATTGTCATACTGATCAGCATAAAGTTTTTGATAGAACCGTTCTGCTAATTTGAAATCATCTTCACCGGCTTTTTGCTGTTGTGGGATAAGGCAAAGCAGAAACGTGCAGCCCTGGCAGCCGTGAGATGGATCTGCTTTCCAAAGCCCCATAACACATCTTCCTGTCCAGCTGCAGGCTGTGTCCTCCCTCCCATCATCATCCTCTTCCACACAGTGCTCAAACCCACCTTCACTGTCTCACCCGACAGCAGCTCTCCTGCCCCGCCCACCCTGCCCAAGCTGCCTCCAACCTCTGCACATTGGCACCTGCAGCAGCTCCTGGATCATCTCCTGAACAGTTTCCAATCACCTCCACTGCATAAGCAGCCAGACTCTGCCCTTGGCCAACCACTCAGCTTTCATTTCCCCTGAAAGGCCCTGAAAGGCCCTAATTTCCTGTATCTGTAGATGGCTGCTGCAGAAGAGAGGAGGAAGAAGTGGGAAAGGGTCTGGGCAGAGAAGGTGAACGGCTGGAACAAGGATGGGAATATCTTATGGACAAATTCCAGCATAAGAGCTGTCTGGACTGTAGTGTTTTCACATATGGAGAATGAAGTTGGCCTTCTCCAGCTACAGGTCAGATGTACCCTGACTGAGATGATGATCTTCTTCAATCCTTGTAAACATCAAAAATTTGATGTATGTTTTGAACTTAAGAGCTCAAACCTGGGAGAAGAAAAAAAATCTCAGCATTTTATACTGAAAGCAACTGTTATCTTTGAAGCTTGAACAAGCTGCACCAATAACACTCTCAGCTGAACACGCAGATTCTTAGTTTGGTTTTGCTGATAACTAAAAATTAACAATTCAACATAAGCCTTAATATAGGCATCTTTCTGCCTGGCACCTGCAAGATTTTCCTCCAGTAGTTTCTCTCTCTTTATGCTGCAAACATCAGTAATAGCAACGACTGATTCAGCAACGTATACCTTGAACTTCTCTTAAAAGGTTACATGTCAAAATGCCACCAGACTGTATTAGCAGTGTTCAGAAAATGGAGAGTATCAAAGTAAGATTGGGTATTGGGTTTATGGTATTTCTACTCTGATAAATGGATAGGCAGATATATGAGGGGGAGTTTTTGGTAAAAAAGCTAACACTTTCTTTATGTTCAATCTTACCTGCTGCCTTCTAACTGCATTTTACTCCATCTGATTTTTCCAGACCCAACCAGGTGAGAGAGTGAGACAGCAATTTTTTCCACTTTTTTTTGTCCTGTCACCAGCATTATTTACTGCATGTCATGTAATTACATATATACAAATGTATTGAATGAAGCTGGATAGATGATACAAGTTGAAATTTGAAAGACAGGCCTTGACTAACTGGAAGTAAAAGCATAAAATATGGATGCACATGATGAAACACTGGAAACACAAGCTCTAACTACACTTTCAACTCCAAGGTTATGGAATCAGGTCTTAGATTGCACGTTTTCTAAACCTGGTGGCATAAAAAAACCTATCCCTTGCTTTTAAACAGATTGAATTTTGTGCAGAATCATTGACAGACAGTGGTAATACATCTACTCTGCAGAGAATAACATGTAGAAAATCAAGTATGAAGTGTAATCTCATTATCAAAAAGAAGACAAAGCTTTGATGTCAACAGGAGTCCTTCTGTGGACTTTGATATAGAATTAATTTCTGTAATCTTAATTATTTTGCCTCTGTCTTACTAACTATGTGGCACTATGAAATAGTGTTTCCCTCAGAGAGAGCAAACAGTTTGGGGATTTTCTTTTCTTTCTTTTTCAATTTTGTTTTGGTTTCAGTGGGAGTATTTGTTGTTGGCTGAGTTGCTGAGAAAGAAGTTAAGTGCCTCTGTCCTGAGGGACAGGAGAGTATGTGTGTGTCTTGTAAGAGAGATGCTGGTGGCATATTGGCCTCATGATGGATGCACAGAATTGAAGAGTGATAATTCATTTGAAATCCCCACTTGTAATATTTTGATGTATTATGACAATATAATCTTGTGTGTTAATAACAGATTATAATATGTATATTTATGGGGCAGTATTTAGCCAGATGACATTTGCTTATGTAAATTCTACTACCTGTGTTTGAAACTGATAGTGGCTGTTATTTAATAGTGCTCCAAAAAGCATGCTGTAGCTTCAGACTTAGGTGAGAATGTGGGTTTGGAGAACTCTCTCCATGTTTATTTATTTCCTACTCACTCCCTCTTTTAGAGGATTTCTAGAAAAATATATTGCATCCAAGAACTCTAGTGTTCTAATTTGGTGATCATAATTTCATTTAGTTGCGTGCCCCTTTTTACAGTCTCAATTTAATGTGCCATTTTCTTCTGCCACACAGAACAGGGATGAGTGAGCAAGAACCAAAACTTTTCTGAAAACAGAAAGAAAGGCTTTATTATATGAAGCTTAAACAGAAAAGCAAGAGTGACAGGATTTCCATACAACTGAAAGATTATCTTCTTTAAATGTGTAACTCATGTTTGCTCTTTATGGGTAGATTGTTAGACTGTATGTTCAGCTCTCTCAAGAGGCATTTAGGACTTCAAATACAGTAATAAATTAATTTGCAAGATAGAGACAATAATGAAAGATTCGATTTCAAACCAGCGACGTGAAACTTTTGTGGAATTCTCAAACACTAAAAAGCAGAAATGACAGCCTTATTTACTGGCATAAATGAACCCACCAATGAAATGAAATACAAGATTGACAGCATTAGGAAGAGCAGCTCCTTTTTTTTTATCTACAAAGAGATGTGACTTACAACAGTGTTATTGCCAGCTTTCCTCCACCTCACTTGGCCACCCCACTCCCCCGAGAGGGCAATGACAACAAAGCGAGGGCAGATTAGAGACCTGGTGTATGCAGGCCTTGCTTTTCCTGAGATAACTAAGGTTACTCTGGGCAGCAAGGAGGTGATGAGTTGACACCCATCATCTCAGAAAGGAAACCATTAGTTTACTCAGAGGCCAGTACAGAGCTGCCAGATGGGAACAGTTTTCTGTCACTGTCTATCAAGGCTGGAGCACAGCTCTTCAGCCTTCTGTGACATCAATTTTATGCTGAGAGCACAGCAGTCTCAAAAAACACTGAAGAGCCACTTACTTGTAAAGTATAAGAAACATCTGTCAGTGGCTAAAAGTGTTAAAGAAATGCTTAACTGTACATTGAGTTGGCAGATTCTTAGGCTCAGACTACAGGAAAAACATTAGCAGTGAAAGTCCACAAGATTTATCCTAATTTATCAGATTACTTCCTCAGAAAGTCTCCTTTTGAACTGCTCTTCAACAGAAGAACAAATGTGTAGACTTCAATGCTTAATAAAGCTAAAAGCTTCTCCCTGGGGTAATTGAAATTTTTCTATCAAAGGGTAGATAGACCTGGTTGCAGCTGCAACAAAGAAGAAACATATAAAGCCAAGTGGAAAGCAGTTAGACAGCATTGGAGGTGTAGGACCATTGAACATGGTCTTGCTAATTGGAATCTATAGCACAGGACATTCAACTACATGCTGGGCAAATGACCCTGAAAGTTTCAAGTCTATCTAGTATAAAAAAAAAGTTCAGATGTAAAAATAATCATAGGAATGATGGATTCTGTATCCTTGAATGGGCATAACCAACCAGAGATCTGGGTAACTGGCAAATTTCTTTTTTAAATAAGGCCCTTTGAGTCCCATATATGCATCTACTTTCACAAGCATTTCAAAACCCATCTTCTAATAATTTCACACAGAGCTTTCAGAGCCGCAATGTTCAAAAGAATGAAAGTAATGAAACACAGCAAAGTTTTACATTTTTATTTCTGTACTTTAGGAAAATTCCTATTGAAGACAGAAGGCAGTTCAAATTGGAATTGCTTTACTGCCAACAAAAATGTGTGACTCTTGATCTAATGAAAAATTAGAGAGATTGAAAAGCAGAAGTAGACTTAGGAAGGATTTCAGCTACAGCAGGATGCAGCCCTTATTGCATTTGTAGTTCAAACTGTGATCTCTAAGGAGATCTAAATTGCTCCAGAGTGTGGAATTTAGGGTATTTGACACTTTATTTTCTCAGAGGAACAAGTATGGGGAGCTAAGACATCAGGTTTTATTGTCATGCATTTAGAAAGAATATTTTATTTTAATTTGAAATAAAATGTTGTTTAATGATAAAAATGTTAAAGTCTTAAAATCCTTGTCACGTGAATTAAAAGTTGTTCAAAACGGTTCCATGAAACGGAAATTGTGAATTTTTTTTTTAAGTTTCCAATCCTGTAAACTGATTTGGATAAGCATACTTTTATTTTATACAGAAAAAGCTGTTGTATTTGTGATTGTTACTGGTATGCATGGGCTCACTGGCTCAAAATCTAAACAGTAGTTCCCACATGCTCTGTATCTTTGTGAGCACTAAAGTATTTCTGGGAAGTGAAACAGCTGCAACAGAAAAAGCTGGAATTACACCTTTACTTCACACTGTGCTACTACACAAGGATGTCAGAAGAAGGGACCTACAAACACTGTGTCTCTGCTTGTTTGGTGTCCCCCGGAGGCAAAGGACCCTACTGAAACAAGGGGTACCTTAGCTTGGGTGCAATGCTACATTCCAGGGCTGTGCTGCTTCCCATGCAAATCCTGCCTCATGCAGACCTTATTCCAGTATCTTGATGTGATGTAGCATTGACTGGGTGGTACAGACATGCTCACACAGTCCACACAGTAAAAGAATTGCAATCAAATTCCTGCTCCAGGATGGCAAAAAAAAAATTAACTTTGGATCCCAAATACCAGGAAACATTATATAAGAGATAAATTAGTCTATATTGTTGATGTCTTCAACCATCTCTTCCTTTCTTTTTTAGTGAGAAAAAGCATGTGAATATCACAGGTGACCATCATGTATTTTCATGTATTCCCCAGAACTGTTTTCTCTCTTGCTTTTCCTCATTTAGCACTTATTTTATCTATCTTCCTCTCTTACCTCATCCTTTTCATTCATCAAATCTTTCTTTATCAAAGCCTAAATTTTTAACTTTTCTTCCACTGCTGTTTGAACTTTTCTTTCTTCTGTTGTTCTTTTCCCACTTGACTTTCCTCTTGTTATCATTTGTCTCCTCCTCGTTCCTATTTCTTTTCCTGCATATTTCATCCATTTGCACTAATCCTCCTCAGCCCCTCCTTTTGACAGCTCTAATGTAGCTGGTTTCTGGCAATTAGCCACTTTTTTACCATTGTCTAAAGAAGCATTTAAACCTTGAAGAGAAGGGCTCCTTTCCAAAGTACCAATTCATTCCAGCAGGAAAAGCTGGAGATATAACTCCCCTGTGACAGGACAAAACAAGCAGGCATGTAAGGTTGTGGAAAGAGCAGGTTAAAGCAATCTCAGCTCTTAGGGCTCAGATGATGAGTCTTATGGCAACAAATCACTGGTGAAATCACGTGCTGCAGTGTCTGACATGCCAGCAGCCTACAGCATTTGGCATCAGGGCATCAAACAACTGAAAAAAAGGAAGTGGAATTATGCCAAAGACATGACGTCCTGAGCACTCGTGCAAGAATGTTACTGATTAGACCAAAAGGATGGTCAGTTTTGGTGCATTTATCAGAACTGTCTATTTTATCACCAAAGTAGCTTAATGAGCTCCCTTTTTCATCTCAACAGACTGGCAGTCTGGGAAAATGCTATGCTATTAATAGAACAGTATTTTTAGAAAGATGGAAAAAAGAAAAAGGCAAGAGTCCAGATTTTATCCCACCCTCTGCAATGGCATCTGTGATACAGCTGGAACACACGTACCAGAGGAAGGTCATCTCAGTTGAGAGAGCAATCACAAAACCCACAGGAAACATGTTTGAGCTTCTCAGTAACTCATTTCACTGGAATACTGGCTGTCCCATATTGGCTCATCCTATCCAACAGCAGAGCTGCGTTTGAAGGAATGTAGATTTGTATGGGTTACTAGCTACATCTTGAAATCATCAAAATATGAATGTTTAATCCCATAATCTGAGTATTAGTATTTAAATCAATGCCTATAAGGTTCCCTTGATTTCTTGAAGGAGTTGAATGTAATCCATTTTGGGAGAAACTGATGTTGAGATCCCGTCATTGACATATCAACATTCTTAGTACTTTGTCTAAGTAAAATGCTTTTCTTTGCTCCTAATGCACTAGGATTCTGTATTTATATGCAATTTCTTTATATATACACATAATACAATACATATAACAAATACATATATATGTACACATATAATAGATATCTGTTGCTCTAGGGGTGGGACTTTTCAGAGAAACCAGAAAATACATGTACACAGAATGCTTTACATTATTGTTCTGCCAACAAATTTGAAGAAAACTTTCTTCTCAACTCCTTCCTTTCTTGAAGAGCACAGATTAAGCAAACTATTTAAAGACATTCTTCTATTCCTTCAAGTCAGGTGGTAAATAAAACTCTTGCCTAAGTAATTTGCTGTATTAGGGCCCTTAAAAAGTAAAGTGTGGCAAGACAGAAACCTGCTTTTGGAACTCTTGACAGCAGAGTGCCTTGAGCTGACAACTGATCTCTTTGTGAAATGAATTATTTTGTGCTTTAGATTATATCAGGTAATCCTTTAGGAACACAAATGAACTTTTCATTTGTTTATTGCAGGAGGTAGCTAGTAACTCATACCACATACATCTACATTAGCTGAAACCCTGCTCTGGTCCAGTCCAACACTAGAAATGCAGATATCTCTGTACACGATGCTGACACTAAAAGTTGGTCCAAAAGTTTCAAGTCAAAACAAAGGTACCCTGAGAATCAATAAAGGACCAAAATTGGATCAGCAACAAATTAAAACACTACTTTCCTTTCCTGTTTTCCACTGAAAGTATTCAGAAGACAGAAATTATTAATTTGGGTTTGTGTGGGTAACAAGAGTGATAGGAAGGATATAACTCAACACTTGGAGGTGAGAACTTTTAGGCTTGCTCATCTAAAGCTAATTATATGGCAGGTTCCCCCATACCATTACATCACCATGACTGCAGACTCACCACTGAGATCCCTCTGGTGCTCCATGCACACATCCTGGCTTGGAACAAAGTCAAGCACAAGGTTAGATTTTTCAGATCAGCTGCATCCACACCAGCATTCAAAAGAGGTAGATGTAAAGTGATAATGAATATTAGCAAACCAAGCCAGCCCCACGAAAAGTTGGATTGTGAATGGATGAGTTTCCGCCCATTGCATAAAGTCCATTAACCAGCAGCATTCTCGTTGGAGTTCATTAAAATTTCAGAGAAATGATTTTGCAGTTCCTTCCTGGTGCCAGGATGAACACTGAGTTTACAGCAGGCATTGTCTAGTGCTTCTTGTTGCTCTCAGAATGACACCAAACTTTTCATTTTATTTTGCTTACTTTCCTGTGCTGCTACTGACAAAAATGGGAAGACCAGTCAAGCAATGGTAAGACAGAAGTTCATCCAGTGTGAAAAAACAAGGTTCCATATGTTGTCATTGAGCATGAAATTACTTTCACATAGTAGTTTGTTGCCTGGATGTATATTTTTCTTTTGCTGAATATGTACATTATCTTGTGGACTTTGAACAAATGAAACCTGAATGATATTGCTCATCGTTACTTCAGCATAAATACAGACTGTAGTCAAAACCAATTTTCTTTTAATATTGTTTCTTGATGTCTTCCTTATATAATTTAATTAGCTCAGTGACTTTTTCTTTTTTAGACTGCAGTAACAGGAAGCAGAAAATAATAGTAAACACCTACTGCATTCTGTGGATTCTTAACACTTTTTATCCTTCTAAACTAAGGAGGTTTTTAACCCTATAACTTCAAATCATTTTAAGTTCATTGTGTCTAAACAGATCAATGTGAGTACTATCAGCTGTAATACACAAAAAATAAATTAGCTCCAAAGATTTTTCCCTTTCAATATAGGTGCAAATAACTACAAAAGTTCATATACAATCAGAGGAACTCTTATGATTTATTAGTTCTCTGATTTCCTTACCAGACTGAGGGTTTGAAACTGCACTGCACAAAAATGTTTTTACATACTCTCACTTAGCAACACCTTTTGTGGGTCCTATTTTCAGAAGTGGTGTCTGCTTACAGTACTTGCAGATGTGGCTGGGCACGGAATATGTGGTTCAGTGAACCTCTAGACAAATATTCATTCATTGGTAAAGGTCAGGAATGCAGCTGTGAAAGGCTGATGAAAAATGGGATGAAAAATTGTAAAGATTCTTCTTCAGCTTAATATTCCAGTAGTGCAAAAATCACAGTGAAGGACAGACCAAAACAAAACACAAGATTTTCTATAGGAGTTTTCTTTCTATTTTTACAACAAACTACAGGCTCTTTACACAGCCCAACAGGACAATTGGTATCAAGGCCATATGTCTTTCTATCAGTGTTGTACACTGGATATACTGGAGGTGATTTTATTAGTTTCATAAACTTCCTTCTCCCACCCAAGTACAACTTGTGGAACAAGAAAACATACATGGAAATGAGTAAACTCTATACACTTGGAAACAGGTAATTTCTCAAAAGAACTTCTCTAAGACATTTTCTGAGTTGTAATGTAGTTTTGTCATTTGGTAAGACATGAGGCCAATATGATCTTATTTCATAGTATCTTTCAAATATCCATCTGTGTTGCTTGTTTCTGCTGAGAATTAGGGATGCACAGCAATTTACAGAAGGTTTTGGTGCTGCCTGTTGCCTAAGCTTCTGCTAAGGTTGGAAGTCTCTGCATGGATGTCTCTCATAGGCATCAGCCTTCTGCCAAAATTTCAGAATGAGCTAAGGAACCAAAAAGATTTTTACCCACTTAAAGGCAAAACTAGATTAATTTTTTATGCTTATTTTATTTTTTATGGCATAAGTTGCTAAGTGTGTCAGCATTTCCCTTCACTGAATGGAAAGATCCAGGTTGTTACATTGTGTTTGTAAGTAAAGGCGTAACTCTGAATTTAGTTGACTTTGATTTTTGCCTATTTTTTTTTTTTTTTACAAAATGTGCTAAGAAAGGCTGCTTCTGGGGTTTCATTTTACTGAAAGGTAGAATATATGCTCAGTAAAACACAGCAATGGCCCTTGCTTTGGCATCAGAAAAGGCACTAAAGTTAATTGGCAGCAAAGTAACTAATAGTTTAAAACTACAAAATTTTTTTTAACAGAAACTCTCAGCCTACTAGTAGTGTAAGAGGGCTACCAATTTCTGCATCTTTTCATAACTAAATATAATCTTACTTTAAGAGATAACTATTCTAAGCAGTTATGTTGTTGATCTCATAGTTGTCTCACTCTTGCCCAAGTCCCTGAAAATGGCTAGAATTTGTCAGTTTTTTGGTGAGGTGAACATTTAACAGTGATGTCATAAGGTCCCAGAATGACAATTCCATTCTGACCCTCAGTTACACAGTTGACAACATTTCCATGAATTCATTTGTGTATGAACTGGAGCAAACTCAATACTGATTTCAAAGTTGCTAGTCATAGGAATCTAGAGGCCTTTATATTTTTTTGTTCTACCTGGGTACTTGTAGATTGTAGAAAAACATAATTCTTTCAATGTATTAAAACTCTGCTATGATACTGTTTTAAAGTGAGTTACATTTTCAACCCTTGGTTTTATGGCTGTTTCCTGAACCCTCTCCAGCATATCCACATACTTCTTGAATTTTAGACAAGGCATTTGGAAGGATGGGAGTATGAGTTGGTTGTTTATTTGCAGGGGTCGATACTTTCAAAGTTTTCTATCTTGAAAATATGGTTTATATTGCTCATGATATGTCACCATCATAAATGCTTTTTTCATCCTAAAAGTAGGCAGGCTTTATTAACTTTCATTAATTAATTTTGAAGGGCTGTTCCTGAAAATTCCTCAACCTCCCATTCTAAAGTCCCACTTCCAAGTTTATTAATGGTCAGTCTGTACCTATTTGGGAGTCTTTTTACTAGTCATGTTTTCAGTCTTTTATAGCCTCAGTCTCTCACTGATCGTTATCCCCTTTGTGTGCCTTGATGTACTTGAAGACAACAATCTTAATCCCTCGGTGTTCAATCCTTCACTTTGCTCACTCAAATAAGCAAACCTTTTTCTGCTTTTTCCGCTTTTTCCAGCCCACAAAAGGATACAGAATCCTGCTATTTCCTGTTTACTGTCCTTCTGGCATGTTCAAGCTTGCTCTCCCTCCTGAGCTGTGGAAGTTTCAACAGAGGACAGAGAGTGGTTGAACCAGATTTCCCCAGAGCATCTCCCCGACCAGAATGGCTCTGGGAAATGGAGGTGGCAGTTTCACTTATTGCAAAATGAAACAAAAAAATTAGTCACCTTACCACGTCTTGTGAAAAAAATTGCAAGTAGCTACTATCAGAGTTCCTGAAGATGAATAAAGATCCTCCCTTTTCTCATTTCCTTAAATACTTAAAGTAATTCAATGTAGTAGTTACTTCTAATTTATATTAAGTGAAAACTAAACTTAGACAGATTCATCCTCTACATTCTGGCTGATGTGCTGCAAACTATTATGGCCTACAACCTACTAACAGCCCTCTTCTACCCCCATTTCACCCAGATATAGCAATCGCCTCAATATTAACATGTAAACAACCCTGCCACTTAACCACTATCATCCACGCTCTTCCAGAAAAACAAATTTTATCAGGCAAATTCAGATGCAGATTGCATTGGCTCAAGCAAGTTCTCCTTATCATTAATGACCAGAACTGTCCCCCGGTTCTGCAAATGTGGACCCAGGCACCTCACGCAGTTCTGGAGTGATTGCTTTTATCTGTGTCCCGTTTTCACTCCTGAGGACAGCAGCAGCTCATGTGTAGTTTATTTATGCTTTTTTTCTTTTTAAACCCCAGACACCATTTTTTAGCAGTTGACATTGAGACTCTGTGTCTTGGTAGCTAAAAAAAGGAACCTCAGGCTATTCAATCTTGGAGTGATGAAAATTTTTGGTGTAGAATTTTGTCAGCACAACTGTCTGCTTCATATTATCAGGTTCCATACTTATCCTGGGAAGTTCTGAATGGCCTCTGCCAACAGGAAAGGGGGCAGCTACCATATTGAAGAAGAGGTCTCTTCCCCATGCATGGCCTAGGCACCATGGACAGAATAAATTGTGGGTAATTTATAAAGATTTAAACCATATTTAGAACAAGATGTACCCTCCAACATTCATGTGGAACAAATATTATTCAGGAATGAGAATATTCATGGGCACAACATGGGAAAAAAATTCCATGATGTTGGTTGAACATGTATTTTCCACATCAGAATCACAGAAATGTTAAGGTTGGGATCATCAGGTCCAACCCAGTGCTGTGCTGTTCACCACTAAACCACATCCCCAAGTGTCACAGCCACATGTTCTTTGACCATTTTGAGCATTTGTGCCTCCCTATTCACTAGTCAGATTTCTCAACACTTTTGGGCCTGTATTACCCAAAATTCTCACCCCTCTGACAGACATGGTTACAGCTAGCACAAAAGCTACAGTGGGAGAATAACATGGAGAAACTAAAAATGAAAACATTTGATGGGTAAAATATTATCATGCATCCCTGGTCATTTGGGGCTGATGTCCAACAGGAAAGATCAGCAGAAAGGGCATTTGAAAGCGCCATTATTGAAATAGACTTCAACTGAGACAGGGGAGATTCAGATCAGATATTAGGAAAAAAACCACTGTTTGGGTGGTCAGGCAATGGAATGGGTTGCCCAGGGATGTGGTGGAGTCTCCATCCTTGGAGGTGTTTAAGAGGCATCTGGATCTGCTGCTGGGTGATGTGGGTCAGTGGTTTAGGGGTTACAATGGCAGTGCTGGGTTGGTGGTTGGACTTGATGGTCTTAAAGGTCTCTTCCCACCTTGATGATTCCATGATTCTATATTTAAAGATATTGCAAAAACATCGGCATTTTGGCAAAGGCCCAGGCCGTTCATCAGGCTCTGCATGACTAAGCTTATGTGAGCATCCAGCTCACAGCACAATTCGCGTCCGAGTGTGTTGCGAGGGCCATCGACCGGCACAGGCGTTTTATATCTTTTATTTTTCCTGGGGAAGGCAGGCAGGCAGGACAGCCCACACCGTGTGTGAGCAGGGCGGGGCAGGGCAGGGCGGGCACCCCCCGGGGGCTCCGGCACAGGGACGTCGGGCACCGTCTCGGCACGCCCGGCGCCGGAGGCAGCTCGGGAGCCGAAGGCGTCCCCTCAGGCCCGGCCTTTTGAACGGCCGTTCGTTAAACAAGAGCAGCCCCGCTCCGCATTGTCCGCGCAGCGCCGGCCGCCGCCGCCGCCCCCCTCACGCGGCCGCTCCCGCGGGGGCTCCCGCGCTCTCCCCTCAGCGCCGGCGGGCGGGGAGGTAACGGCGGGGAGGAGAGCCCTTCCCGGGAACCCTTTCCCGCAAGGAACGCCCCGCTCCGCCGGCAGCGGGGAGCCCTTCCCGGGAGCCCGTCCCGCAGGACCCGCCCCGCTGAGGCGCGGGAGGAGCGGGAGGAGCCGGGGGACGGCCCCGGCGGGCTGGGGGCGGAGGGGGCGGGCGGCGCTCGCTCCCCCCGCGGTGACAGTTTCTAGAAGCTCGTCCCGGCGTCCTTTGCGGCCCCAACATGGAGGAGCTGACGGTGGAAGTGCGCGGCTCCAACGGGGCCTTCTACAAGGTACCGGCGGCGGGGGCGGCGCGGGGAGCTCCGCGCCCGGCGGGGCCGGGGCCGAGGGGCCGCGGGGGAGGGCGCGGGCAGCGGGGAAGGTGCGGGGGGCGCGGGGCCGGGGGCGGCGGGGATGGAGCGGGGCGGCGGCGGGGGGCGGCGGTGACGAGGCTGGCGAGGGCTGCGCTCAGGGGAGGGTCGTGTGGTGGGAAGGCAGAGCCGCCGACGGGGCCGGGGGGGAGCAGATGCGCGGCGGGGGGGATTCCCCGGGCCTTCATTTTGGGGAGGGTGGGTGGGCGTCTGGGGGTGGAGGGAGTTGTTTTTTCGAGATGTAGGGGCTTTTGGGTGGGACGGTAATAATGATTTCTAAAATATTAAAAATAATTTTTTTTGAGATTTCGAGTTTATTTATGCCATCAGAAATCTTCCTTCACCATCACCCTCCCTGGAATGTCAGGATGGTACAGGATCAATGCAGAATACTCTCAGCTGTTGCCTGTCAGTCATTTTCTCTTAAGCCTGGCTTCAGATGTTTAAGAATCCCAGCTCTTTTTATGGCAATAGCCTCCTGTCTTCCTTTCCAGAAGGGCTGATTCCAGCCGGTATTGTGAGCACGCAGCATGGCTGTGTTCTGGGAGGATTTAATCTCGGGACTCTCTTTAGCTATTGTGCCCAACCACATGCACAGCCAGTGTTGCACTGGGGGGCGTGGGGTTGTCCTTTTTCTTTTTTTTCCCCCTCTGAGTTTCCTGTGTGCAGCTGTGGATTTGGCTTGGAAGTCATGTGGTAATTGTACAGTATGTGCAGGCAGTTGGTTTTAAGGGATTGTTACCAGCTGACTTCAGGAGTTAGTTTTTTCAACTGGCCATGACAAATGGGAGATACTCTTATGGGGAAAGAATGCAGCGGGGTAACTGGCATCCCCTTGGTAGGGAATTCTCTGAAATTTTTTACTAAAATCAGTAGATTATAAATTTTCTAAATCAGATACGTTTTTTGTCGAACTCAAAGTAACAAACACAGAAACCCACATTAGAACCATTTGCATCTGGAACAGGACGCTCGTAAATAGAATTAATTTTTTTTCACCCCCCTGCTGCCCTTTAGGAAGCTCAGAATTGGGAAACGCTCTTCTTAGCTTTCCATTTTCTACCTTGTGATCTTGGACAAGCTTACAAACCATGGATTAGTTGTTTCTTCTGCTTAAGAGGAATGTGAGACTCATGGGAGTATGAGCAGGTGTGCTGAATTCTTTGACTGAAGGGATATGTGCACAGAATTGATTACAATAAGCCTGATGTAAAATCTGCAACGATGACATCTCTTCCTAAGTCAGTGAGAATTGTCAGACTTGGATTAGCACCATCGTGCGTTTTAGCCATATGAACACTAACTAACAAAAGCAGAAGTTTTAATTAAAAATGGCAGAATGGCTTTGAGATCAATGAAATGAGGATTAAGTCCAATGGTGGCATCTTCATGGTGGATGAAGGCAGGTTAGGGTGATTGGATGCACCATGATCAAAGCCTCAATTCAGTCATCCACTGTGAACGTGGAGGGGAAAAAACCCACAAAACCCAAAAAAACGCAAACCAAATAGACCAAAGAAACACAATTTTAAGAGATTATTCTTGTGAACTACATGCAGTGAAATGTGTCAGTGACTCCATTTTGTGAGTCTTATAGTTGAAGTAGGCAGAGGTTCTGCAGTATTTTGGAACTAGGTAACACTCCTAGACACTTGCTGTTTAAAGTTTCTGAAGCAAAGGAGTGAGGTGTGTCAGTCACATTTAGGAAGCATTGATCATACTGTGTGCAAGATAATGAGAAGAGACTCATGTTGTCTGAGCCACATGACATTGTATGGATGGTGGCAAAAGTTTTCTGAAGAGAAAAGCAGAATTTGTAAGATGGGATGAAATTTGAGGTTTGCCCTTAGAACAGTCTGAATTCAGAGTCATCAGCACAACATACCTCCAGGTACATGAGATGAGAAAGATTGTGCTATGCCAACAGAGATAAAACCCAAAATAATTATGTAAACAGTAACATGAGAGTTTGTTTTTTTTAATGAGTTGTTACTATGGTCTGCAACTTGGCTGTAGTAGAACACATGTAGTGTTTAAATCTGTTGGAGCATTATAGTGGTTTTTCAATACTTACTGGAGGTATGACTATGGTAAATGATACTCTACATAGATTCTTTTGTTCCTCTAATAATTGCTCTTCAGTTTCAAGGGGGAATTCTTTGTACCTATTGGAAGAACATACATTGTATGTATGCATTATGAACATATGTTATATATGGATACACTATGGTTGCTATAAATTAGTACAGAAAATTAGGTTCTTTATTAAAATACATGAAAACTCAAAATACTTTTCATGATGCAAGAATCAGTGGACAGCAACTGTGGTTATGGTAGATCCCAAGGTACCCTTTTAAATTTTTGTACAAGAGAAAGCATAATTATGATCTAATTCTAAACTCCTATTTCTCAATAACCAAAGTAATTTATGCTTTCTTTTGTTTTCATTGCTTTACATAATTGATATAATC